GCGTCCTGTTTGGGCTTGTCGCTTATTTTGGTATTCCAGAGCTCGGTAACGATATTTTCGTAATCCACTTCGTGAATGTGAGATGGTTGCTTGCGGTAGTGTATTTTAAAAGTTTGTTCTTCAAGGCGTTTAAGAAACATTCCATATACGAGGTTGAACTTTTTGTTGAAAAAAAGGTTGCCCTTTGATGCTTCCACTAGGTATAGGTTCAACTCTTGTAATTCTTCATTTTGGTAAGGCTTCCATATGTCAAACTCGGTAAAGACAGGTATGTGTGTAATTTTGGAAAAGGCTTTCGTGAAAGCTTTTGTTCTGTCAATTTCTACGGTCTCGTTTGTGGAGTTGTTTTTGAAATATCCGCTTGGCACTATGGTTCGGCATTCATCTAAAATATCTATGTCTGTCTGGCTATAATAGGACTTGTGGGCATCGTTGAAGATTTTCTTATTGAAGTTAAACATTTCTCGGTTCATATCGTTGAAAAGCTTTTCGTTTTCTACCGATACGTCTTCGTCTATGCTGTGGGTTGATAAGTTTTGTAGCTTGATTGTGTAGGTGATTTCTTGCTTTTTGCTTTTTATCTTCCAATTTACTTTCAATTCTGTCATCGTTCCCGCTTGATATTTGATGAAGGGCTCGTAACCTGCCATTTTTAGTTCGTGGAAGAGTTTTACGAGGTCATTATCTTTATGAACTAAGGTATATTCTGGTTTTTCCGTGTATTTTAAAAGGTCGTTGGCTGTCTCTATCATATGGCATTCAGGGGGCTCTTCTCGGTCGCTTATGTAATAGTTGCTACTGATTTTCAGATTGAAGTTGTTTTGGGTGTTCTCATTCATTGTTTTTTTGATGCTTTTCAGGTCTCTGTTTATGGTATAGACGTGGTTGTTCTTGATGAGCCCGAAGAAGCCTTTCGTGTGTTTATGGTAATCTGGCGGGTCAAAGGAATAAATAAGCTTCCCGTTGAAATCAAAAAGACGTGCTGTTATGTTAAATGCCTTGAAGACGTTTTCCATTTGCGTGGTGGTTGCGCCTTTGTTTTTAAACTCTTCTTCTGTTGTGTGTAGAAGTTCTAACATATGTTGTCGGGTTAAGGTTTTGGAAAGTGAGCCCCGCTTGTGTCTCATAAGGTCGGGGTAGTGGTCAAGAAGTGAATTTATCCAACATTCGTTTTCGGTATAGTGCTTTTTTGCGAGTGCTTCTGTTATTGTTGAGTAGCTGGGGTCAATATCGGTTTCAATATATTTATTGTATATGGATATGTTTGTAGCATCTCGTAAGTTTTGATTTTCTGGCGGTTGAGCTTCACCTTCTGCAACGTTGGCACTTTCAATTCTTATTGCATTTATATATTGATACATATCACCCTTCGCCATATCATTAAATTCTGGGTCTGTTCTTAATATTAACATAAGGCGCTTAAAAAGGAATTTATCATATTCTTTTGTTACTCTCCGTTTTATGACGGTCTCTATAAAGTCGTTTGCTTTTACTTGCGCTTCTCTCTGTGCTGGATTAAGTAGAGGATAATAATTTCTGCCATTGACTTCAAAGGCTCGTTTCTTTCCCGAGCGGTTCTGTGTGGAAAGAAGCATATATTTAATGGAATACGTTTTGCGATTTTTGAAAAGCTCTTTTGTTTTGGATACAACATTTCTCAAAGGTTGTTTCCCGAAAATGCGCCTTAAAACTTTTATCTGCTTTCCTTCCCTAGCTTTTTCGGCTGTTTTGTTCATTCGTTCCGATAACGGGGCTTTTGATTCAAACTTTTCTATGGCTTTTTCTGCTTTTTTAATGCCTCTTGTTTTTTCTTTTTGAGTTCCTGTTGTCATTTCGTTGATGAGTTTTTCGGCGGTTTTGAAAATTGAAAGTTGGCGGTTCTCATATAAATCAACAATTTGATTAACTTTGGTAATAACGTTTTTAGGTGCTTTTGTTTCTATTAATCGTTGTCTCTTGTTATTTAGGTGTTTAATATTGTCACGGATAGCCTTTCTAGTCATATGATAATCTAGATTAAAATATATTGTTTTTATTTCTTTAAATAGTTTCTCCTTATTCGCCTGTTTTGATTTTGGTTTGGTCGGTCTTTGCAAATGCCTTAAAGACAAAACGCCTATATATAGTAAGCATAAAATGACTGCAATGAAGAAGCCCGAGGATTTGACACTGGACGAGGTTAGGGAGCAAATGGCGCTGTATCAGAGGTTGTATTATAAGCTGAGAATGCAAGACCCTGATTATGCAACGGCATTAAGAGAAAGGAAAAGGTTAAGTAAGCAAAGGATGAAAGAAGCAAGAGGAGAGAAACCTAAAATGCTTCCTAACCAAAAGTATAGTATGGAGAATATGGCTGTGATTAAGGCGAATAAGGTTGAGGAATAGAAATAATTTTTATAGTAATATTACTATAAAAACTATTTTTGGTGAGAGGTTTGACGTAAAGGCTTCACCGATTTGATGTAAGGGCTTCACCGATTTGATGAAAGGGCTACACCGATTTGATGTAAGGGCTACACCGATTTGATGTAAGGGCTACACCGATTTGATGTAAGGGCTACACCGATTTGATGTAAGGGCTACACCGATTTGATGTAAGGGCTACACCGATTTGATGTAAGGGCTACACCGATTTGATGTAAGGGCTACACCGATTTGATGTAAGGGCTACACCGATTTGATGTAAGGGCTACACCGATTTGATGTAAGGGCTACATCGTTTAGGGGTATTGACCTATTTCAATAGGGGTATTGACCTATTTCAATAGGGGTATTGACCTATTTGAATAGGGGTATTGACCTATTTGAATAGGGGTATTGGCTCATTTCAATAGGGGTATTGGCTCATTTCAGCAAGGGGCTTTGCGGTTGCACTGCGGGGGCTTTGCGGTTGAACTGTCGGGGCTTTGCGGTTGCAGTGCGGGGGCTTTGCGGTTGAACTGCGGGGGCTCTGCGGTTGCACTGTCGGGGCTTTGCGGTTGCACTGTCGGGGCTTTGCGGTTGCACTGCGGGGGCTTTGCGGTTGCACTGTCGGGGGCTTTGCGGTTGCACTGTCGGGGGCTTTGCGGTTGCACTGTCGGGGCTTTGCGGTTGCACTGCGGGGGCTTTGCGGTTGCACTGCGGGGGCTTTGCGGTTGCTTTGTAGGGGTTTAGGCGAAGTGGCTTAAAGAGAAGGCGACATATAATATTAAGAATGGAAGAGAACAAGCAAAAATGTAAAAGATGCAAGAAGCTGTGTGATAAAGATTTATTTGAAGGCTTTAAAACCTGTATTAACTGCCGTGAAAGGGCAAGGGAAAATGCTAGTGTGTATCGTGACAAATACAGAGAAGAAATTAACCGTAAAAAGCGTGAGAAGTATTCACCAAACGGAACAATCTACTGTGAAGCTTGTGGCATTAGAATAAGACCCGAAATTTATGACGAACACGTGTTGAAACCTAATCATTACCTTGCCGTAGAAATGATAATAAAAAGCCGTGAGAGAGCGATAAAGTTATTATCAGAAGATGAAGAGTTTTTACAAAAGCTTCCAGAAGAGATCAGAAACGACAAGGACAAGCTAAGACAAAGAATTTTACGCGGCTTACCAGATAGATATAGAATGTATTAGTTAGTTTTCATAATGCTTAATTATGAAAATTAAATAAGGTTCACGCCTAGGTTCGCGGAGATGGGGTTTGGGGGAGTTGGGGGGTTAGGAGCTTTGGTAGGTGGGGGGTTTGGGTTGATAGGAGAATTGGTAAGAATGGTTGGTTGGGCTTTTGGAAGTTTTTGTCTTAAAGAGAAGGTAGTATTATTAGGTATGGCGACTTCTAGAAAATGTTGTATGCGATGTAAGAGGAGGCGAGCTGATGAGTTTTTTGAAGCGGAGGCGGAGATTTGTAGAGTGTGTGTAAATGAACTGGCACCTAGGAAAAATTGTTCTAGTTGTCGGAGGAATAGGAGGGTTGAGGAATTTGATGAAGGTTATATGTCGTGTAGGCGGTGTATAGAAAATATGAAGTTGTATAGGGAAATGAATAAGGAGAAACGGATGGAGCAGAATAAAGATTATCGTGAGAGGCACAGGGAAGAGAAAATATTGTATAATTCTTTGGTGGTTCACTGTGATGTTTGTGATTGCGAGGTTCGGAAATGTAACCTTGCGAAACATAAGAAAACGAATAAGCATATGGAGAAAATGAGAATGCAGGAGGCGGATTAGTTCATATTATGATGTTTATAATATGAATTAATTTTTTGGCGGGATTTTTGAGGAGGACGGGTGAACCATACGCGTCAGAGAGTCTAGCTCCTAGAAGCCTTTCAAAAGCCTAAACCCTAAACCCTAAACCCTAAACCCTAAACCCTAAACCCTAAACCCTAAACCCTAAACCCTAAACCCTAAACCCTAAACCCTAAACCCTAAACCCTACACACCCGAGTAAGCCCTACAATCCCTACAGTCTAAACCCTCAACGGCTCTGCTTGGAGGCTTCGGGGCTTTGTAGCGTGAGGGCTTCTGAGTATGTTTTGGGCTTGAGGGTTGGGGATTTAGGGTTTGGGAGCGTCTTGGCCGAAGCCCACAACCCTGAACCCTGCACCCTCAGCCCAAGAACCGAAACCCTTTTGGAATCTTGGGTGTTTCTGTCTAAGGGGTTCGGTTTTTTTGGGGTGAGGGGGGGGGGGGGTGAACTCCGATCCCCTAAACCCTGGTTATGAAAAGGAGGTTCACTACCACACCCAAGAGCAACCTAGGAATGAAAAGGGTGCCCTTCTTGGTTTAAAGGGGCCTTATAAGGGAACCTGCACCTTAAAAAGGGGGATAAGGGTCTACTCTGGGCCCTAGTTGCTTAGGCATACTTATAAGTACCCATGAACCTCCAAGTGAGGGATGAAACCTGAACCCTGAACCGAACCTAAACCCTAACCCTAAACCCTAAACCCTAAACCCTAAACCCTAAACCCTAAACCCTAAACCCTAAACCCTAAACCCCCGAGCCCAACCCCCAAAATGCCTTCGGCTTGCCCCGGCTCTTAGCCAGGCGGCCTGGTGAGTCGCGGTGCAGGTCTGAACATTTAGGGTTTGGTGGGGGCTTGATCATCCTGCCCAAACACCCAACCCCAAACCCCAAACCCCAAACCCTAAACCCTCAACCGCAAAAGAATGGCCCCCGAATAATTGGAGGATGCTGGGGCAAATTCAGGCATGTTACGGCCTCATTTGTTTCTTCTGATTGTAATGTAGGGGGTTCTTCTAGGGTAGTTGCCTTTGATCCGATGAGAAGAGCAGTAAAGGCGCACGGCGAAACTTCGACATACGAATCTCGGCTGGTGGCTGCAGCATCACGAATACCAAGGGCCCACCTTGTAAATGGACCCCCAAAACAGATGCCTGTGCTGAAAAGACTGTACGGAAGGTGTATCCGAAAATGGCACCCTAAACCCTATAACCCTGAACCCTAAAACAACCCGAGTCCACAGGCCGCGCAAAGAAAGCACTCATTGAGTTAGAGAGGCAAGAAGGAGCTTAGGGTTTAGGGCTGCGGCTTTCAAACCCGAAACCACAACATTCAACGTTTTAGGTTTGGGGTTTGGGTTTAAAGTTTGCGGCTCAGGGCTTAAGGTTTTAGGATTTGGGGTTCAGGGCTACTGAAGGTTTTGGGACGAACCAGTTTTGGTACCTGAAACCCTGATTTTTCAAACCCTAAAGCTCGCTTTCCCAATAGCCCAGTAGCCATGTTATGATAAGGGTACACCCTAAACCCTAAACCCTAAACCCTAAACCCTAAACCCTAAACCCTAAACCCTAAACCCTAAACCCTAAACCCTAAACCCTAAACCCTAAACCCAGGGAACCCCAGAAGCAAGAAAAGGGTAAAGGGTACGACTGGGTCCCACTGGGCTACGAAGGTTTCCGCCCAAGGAACTAGGGTTTAGGGTTTAGGGTTTAGGGTTTAGGGTGTTTTCCGCCCAAGGAACTTATCCGCCACAGCAGGTCGGGCTTCGCGGAAGTGTTCCTGGGCTGTGCGAAGGCCCGGCCAGGGGCGAAGCCGGTAGAAGCATAGAACAAAAAAACAAAACACCCCGAAACAAAAAAACAAGAAACATAACTTCGCATGACATCCTGAAAAATTCAGCAAAGTTAGTTTGTGCGCAGTGATCACAATATAAAAAACTCAAGCGAAAGGGGGGGGGGCTTCATTGGGGGTAGGTACCGAGGGAACCTTTCGGGAAGCTTAGGGAGCCTTCGGGAGTAGTGGTGAGTATTAGGGAACCTTGGGTTACACGCACCCTTGAACCCCTCCCCTAAGGACCTTATATGCAAAGTAGGGGCCTTTTAAATCCTAAATAGAAGAACATCCCCTTAAAGGGACCCCCAAAAGGGGTACCCCTATTTTTCGGAAACCCCCCATAACTTTTATACATGAACCCAAGAGGCTTGCAAGGAGCGAAAAGAGGAGCGGCGCGTGGAGACAGTTAAACTCAAAGGGTTTTGGGTTTTGGGTTTAGGGTTTAGGGAAAGTATGACAAAAAGAGGGACAAAGATGAACACCCCAAAGACACGATATGTTACATCATCTGCCGGAGCCCATACTCTTTCAGTGCATTTCCTGGGGGGGCTTTACAACCCATAGAACCCCAAAACAAAACCAAACAATCCTTCTGACAACCCAATCCCAGATCTTCCGATAGCGGAACTTGGCTTAGGCGTTTATCGCTTTGTGTTTCTTTGGTTTGGGGGCTTAAGGGTTTTAGGAACTTTAGGCTTCAGGGCTTTTGGGGATTTCCGGGGCCTTTACATATAGTTCATCAAGTTTTATCTAGGCTTCATGGAAAACAAAGCTAGACCCTATTACTTAAGCAAGGGTGGTACGGTCGAGTTAGGTTAGGAAGATTAGGTTTATGTTTTCGGGGGTAGGGGGGTTTGAGGCGGTCAAGTGCTTGCCAAGAAGCTGCAACACTAAGCGATACAGCTCCTCCGCCTGAAGGCAGGCGTGTGGTGCAACCACCACGTGGCGCGATCCCTTGTATGTATCCCGACCCCTTTAGGCTTCTGCTTGAATGCTTGGTGGCCCAGAAACCATATTAGAATGGTGACTTTGTAAGGGAACCTTGAACCAACAGATGGGCAAAAGGGCTACCAAGAAAAAAGGTGAGACCCAAAAGAACCTAGAGGGACCATTTGTATTACTATTATGGCATTCGGTACCCAAAAACCATACCTAAATAGGGTTTTGGGGTACCTAATTCCAAAAAAAGTACTACAAATGGACCCTCTGGGGAACCCGAACCCTTGAACGTACAGGCACCCGGAAAATCTCTGACGCTGCGGACCCCCAAAAGCCTGTGCAACGAATGCTTCATCGGTCGCAGGTTTAGACCCGCCCTAAACACCCTAAACCCTAAACCCTGTAGCCCCAAACCCCAAACCCTAAACCCTAAACCCTGAGCTCTTCCGAATGTTTGCTCTGGAGTTGTCGGTTTTAGGGCTTTGAGGCTGGGCGAGGGTTTCGAGTATGCGGGTTTAGGGTTTCGGGTTTAGCATTTCGGGTTTAGGGAGGTTTGAAGGCTTAGGGTTTAGGGTTTATAGGGCTTAGGGTTTGAGGTCTAGGGTTGAGGGCTTAGGGTTTGTGTGTGGCTTTGTTTGCTAAGGCTTTGGACCAGACGGTGTCGTACTTTTCCGACCAATGCCCGACTAAAGCACCGCAACCTGTTCGCAAGTAGTGTGAACCACTACCTGAAGGCTCCAATACCCTAAACCTGACACCCTAAACCCTAAACCCTAAACCCTAAACCCTAAACCCTAAACCCTAGATCTGACACCCTAAACCCTTTTTTTGGTTAGCTCTAGGGCCCTAGGGGGGTAAAGTGCTACATCGGGAGGCCCTGAGACCTCAACCACGTTTGTACAAGGTGCGGTTCGCTCTTCAGGCTTGAGGAGGTCGGGGTTGATGGCTGTAGCCTTTAGGGCTTTAGGGTTTAGGGTGTTGGGTTTAGGGTTTAGGGTTTAGGGTTTAGGGTTTAGGGTTTAGGGTCTAGGGTTTAGGGTTTAGGGTTTGGGGTTTGGGGTTTAGGGTTTAGGGTTCTCGTGTAGATTCTGCCTCGGCGTCACGGCCCATGAACTCCAAGGTATAGGCCAGATCCTTCCACGGGTCTTGGTCGCCTCGGGTTTAGGGTTTAGGGTTTAGGGTTTAGGGTTTAGGGTTTAGGGTTTAGGGTTTAGGGTTTAGGGTCCTTTGCAGGGTGGGTTACAGATTGCAGGGCAAACGCTAAACCCGTGCCTTTCTCAACAAGCTCCATAGGTCAACCCCGCAGAGGGCCTTGAGAATTCGCAAAGGGGCCCACAATCCCTAACCCTAAGCCCTAAACCCTAAAACCCTAAACCCAAAACCCTAAAACCCTAAAGGCTTCGGTTAGCCGGCAGTTGAGGGACTTGTGGGCGCATGCACTTGGCTCCTTGGGGTAGCTCTCTAAACAAGGGCCCCTGATTTGGGATCCTCATTTTAAGCGGTGCCGTAATCCTAAACCCTAAACCCTAAACCCCAAACCCTAAACCCTAAACCCTAAACGCTAAACCCTAAACCCTAAACGCTAAACCCTAAACCCTAAACCCTAGGAAAGTGAACCCTAATTTAGAGAACTACCCAAGCGTGAATTAAGAACTGTAGGGTCCACCGTGCACCGCATGGCCTCACTTTTTCTATCAACTAGTGCGAACCTGCCCTCATGTACAACAATGCGATAAGGTTTAGGGTTTAGAGTTTCGAGTTAGGGTTTTCGGGTTTAAAGTTTAGGGTTTAGTGATCAGGCTTTAGCCTCTCTGTCGCAGAGGGCGACAGCATGGCATGCCGAAGAGAAGTTCAGACAAGTGCACAGACTCAACTTTCCTGGCACCGTCGACCAAAAAAAGTCGTTGATGGTTTCGTAAGCGATTGGGGATGACAATCTCGGTTTGCAGACTTGCGTACTGATAACGTTTATATCGAATGGTTGAGGTGCAGATGGACGATGTGGAGGCCCTGCTGTGCAAAACTCAAATAAAGCCAAATATCCAATTCAGGGTTTAGGATGTAGTGTTTAGGAGCCGCTCTCACACAAGAACCACGCCCTGAACGCCACTAAGAGGGCTGAAGCAAACCTCCTTCAACAGTCTCGCTCCCCCTCCCAAAGAACACCTGCCAAAACCCAAAAACCCCATCTCCTAGACCCAAGAGTAAGCTAGGATCTAGGCACAGAAAGGGTACCCTTCTTTGGTTTTTATTGAACTTACAAGGGAACCAAAGACTTGACAAACGGGAATAAGGGCCTACTCTGGGTCCGAGTCTCCCAGTGAAAAAAACTAAACCCTAAACCCGAAACCCCAAATCCTAAACCCCAAACCCTGAGCCAGGAAGCCATCCATGTCGGCTTGCACCGCTTTGGATAGGTGGGGGAGAGCCTGGTGGAGGTGCTCAGAGTCTCAGGGTTTCCGAAAATTAGGGTAGGGTAGGGGGGGGGGGGGGGTGCGGGTGCCTTATTGAGGGGTCCTTTTTATAAAGGGTAGGGTACAAGAAGGAGATCACCAAAACCTTCGGGAGGGGGGGGGGGGGGGGAGGGGGGGGGGGGGGGGGGCTTATTGGGGTCCTGATACTGAGGGAATCCTACCATTTGGGGCTGTAAATGGGCCCTCAATTTGGGCCCCTTGTCAGAACAACCCTCATGTGCACGATCGGATCCCTATAAACATGGGTAAGGGACCATGTCAAGGGCCCATGGTTCCAACCTAAGAATACAGAAGGTGTAGAGTTCGAAGGCTCGGGGTTTAGGGGATATGAGGGCTGGCGGTTCCTGCCTCCCTCAACAACTGGGGACGGAAAAAGGCCACGCTGTTTCACACATTGTATGCCTAGGAAGTGCCTAGGAAGGCCGACCATATCTTTGAAGCTCAAGTAACCTCTGGTCCAAGTAAGTTGGGGGCTCCGGTCGGAAGACGCTGAATTACACAGCTTTTAGGCTTGGGATGGTTCAACCTTTGCGTTGCGCAATGAGGTTCGGGAGCCTGGGAGTACAGGGCTTTAGGGCTTTGGGAGGTTTTGAAGGGTTTTGTATGTTGAACAGGTTTCAAGGTCCAGATTTCGGGGTGAGCGTCACTTTGCCCCAGTATCCTAAGAATGACGACAAGTTTGTCTTGTTTGCGGGGCATTTTGTCCCAGAACTCTTAGGACACGACGGAGGGCTTGCGAAAAAAAAGATCGAAAGACCTTTTTCCACAAACCCAAACCCGAACCCAACTTGAATCTGAGGTCTGAAGGGCGCGTGTCCATTTTTGATGGGTTGCTGAGTACATCCGGCTTGCCCTCAAAACGCTTAGCGCCAAACCCCCCTCGCCCCCAAAACCGAACCCAAACCCTAAACCCTCAAAACACTGAAAACCCTAAACCCTTAAAACACTTAACACCCCAAAAGCCCTTAATTAAACCCCGAAACCTTAAAACCAAAAAACCCTTGAAACCCCCAAAACCCTTAAACCCGCAACTTGAACCCTGACCCTAAACCCTAAACCCGAAACCCAAAACCCTAAACCCTAAAACCCAAAACCCAAACCCAAAAACCCAAAACCCAAACCCTAAAACCCAAAAACCCAAAAACCCAAAACCCAAACCCAAAAACCCAAAACCCCCAACACAAGCAGCCCGCGCCTCTTCGTAGGCCTGGCGCAGGAGCAGCGCGTCGCCTGAGCAGCCCAGTAACCAGATTACAATAAGGGCACCCTTTTTGGGTTGGCTACGTACTGTATAACCCTAAACCCTAAACCCTAAACCCTAAACCCTAAACCCTAAACCCTAAACCCCCTAAACCCTAAACCCCCTAAACCCTAAACCCTCTAAAGCCTAAACCCTCTATACCCTAAACCCTCTAAACCCTAAACCCTCTAAACCCTAAACCCTCTAAACCCTAAACCCTCTAAACCCTAAACCCTCTAAACCCTAAACCCTAAACCCTAAACCCTAAACCCTAAACCCTAAACCCTAAACCCTAAACCCTAAACCCTAAACCAAAAAAAAAGGGTAAAAGGGTACCACCGGGTCTACCAAGTCGCCCATCTGGCGATTCGTTTCTGCCCGGTTGGGATCGATGGCCAGAGACTCCCTTGACACTGCAGGCGCTTAAGCCCGGCTGGTTTTCTTAGTAGGGAATGAGGTAATGAGGTACCTACATTATATACTCTAACCCTAAACCCTAAACCCTAAACTCTATCCTAAACACCCTCATTCCATGCTAAGGACCAGGGGTGATCTGAGGGTCGTTACATGGTTCCGTGAGTATGGGCCCTTCATTGGGGCCTATAAAACACAAGGAACCCTTTCAAGAAGGTAAGGGACAAATTTTAAAAGGGACCATGTAACTTTCCTTAGACTTGGGGTTTGGGATTGCAGTGTGATACGCAACAAACAGCCACCCTAAACCCAAAACTCGAAACCCCAAACCCTAGTAAAACCCCTAAGGCTCTAAGATTTCTTGATGACCCACAGGCCCTGCCACCGAAGGCCCTTGGGCGGAAGCTAGCAGCTAATGCAAGCTAGAGCTGCGCTTGAAGGCTCATGGGTACTCGTAAGTAGGGGTTTCGGGTTTAGGGGTACTTGTAAGTAGGGTTCAAAGTGCAGTACCCTAAGTAAAGTTGTAACGCTCGTTACCCTACTGATAACCCTACTTATAAGTTCCCATGAACCTCCAAGTGGGGGATCTCTCGAGAAGGCCTTGAGCCTAGGGCCTAGCTTATTGGGGAGCAATGTGCAGGGTATAGGAGTTAGGTAAGCCCCTAAACCCTAAACCCTCAACCCTTAACCCTAAACCCTAAACCGTCAATCCTTAACCCTAAACCCTAAACCCTGTAGGGGTTGGGACATATAGTGTTTAGGGTAGGTGTCAGGGTAATGTTGGACTGGCTTTAGTGGATGGGACCACTATTATGCGATTTTCCGATCCGCTTATACAGAACCCCCCATTGTTTAGGGTGGTTCACAATTATGCGATGTTGTCCCGGCTGGGGTTGAAGGGGGGGGCCGGGGAGCCAAAAACAAAAAAACAAGTTTTGAATAAGAAACTCCGGATTTTTTTGGTGTCCAGCCTTATTTAAATTCCTTGTAAAATTTCATTACGAAACAGGCCCCCAAACAATTTTCCAAGGGAGTAGCCCACGAGCTGCCCTGATTCGCTTTAACAAGTTGTTTCGGTGGTCCGCATTAATGCGGAGCCCCGGCGACCGTGGAGCTACAAAGCCTGGAAAGCTTAGACCCTCAAGCTTCAAGGCTTCCGCCCTACCCCCAGCCCCCGTCCCAGCCCCATCCCACATTATTAAGGATCCCCGAAAACCCCAAAATTGTTTGGGGGGCGGGGGGGGGGGGGGGGGCCCCTGCGCACTAAAGCGAGTCCAACATTATCGCGTTCAGGGCTTGGAACTTCAAGGGAATTTGGCTACAGCAGGATCTGAAGGCCGGCCTGTCCCTGCCTGAAGGCTTAGGGTTTAGGGTTTAGGGCCGTTTAGGGTTTATGGTTTAGGGTTTAGGTTTTAGGGTTTAGGGGGTGGGGTTTTGGGTTTAGGGTTCCAAGGTGGGTTCTTTTGGGGTTAGCTATAGGGCTTAAAGCATACTACGCCGAAAACAGGTACCTTTTTTCCCTAAACCCTAAACCCTAAACCCTAAACCCTAAACCCTAAACCCTAAACCCTAAACCCTAAACCCTAAACCCTAAACCCTAAACCCTAAACCCTAAACCCTAAACCCTAACCCTAAACCCAAAACCCTAAGTTCTAAACCCTAAACCCTAAACCCTAAACCCTAAACCCTAAACCCTAAACCCTAAACCCTAAACCCTAAACCCTAAACCCTAAACCCTAAACCCCTACACCATCATGGAAAACCAGTCCCGGCCTGAATGTCTCCTCTGCCTCCCTGAAGCGAGTGGCCTGAGTCAGCAGCTCGCCGAGGAAGTTCCTGGCCTGCGCGGCGTTGATTCAAAGGCTTTTTGGGGTTTGGGGTTTGGGGTTTAGGGTTTAGGGTTTAGGTTTGAGGGTTTTAGGTCTAACCTCAAACCCTAGACCTTACCCCCCCCCCCCTCCAAAAAAAAAACTGAGGACACTAAGTCATCAACCCTCGATCGAATTTCTATGAGCCATGAACCCCATGGAAGCCGCATGAAAAGAAGCCCATGAAACTCCATAAGCTCTCAACACTTCCTAAACCCTAAACCCCAAGCCCTAAACCCTAGACCCTAAACCCCCTCAAACCTACATCCTGAGTGGCCTTTTACAGGTGCGTATGTTGACATATACATTATCTTAGAACTGTGGCCTTTTGCTGGTGCCATTTCCATTGGGCTTGCAGGGTCCGAAGTGCAGGATGTCGGGCTTATGAAGCGTCCCAGACTCTGAGGCTCAGAAGAGTCTCTGCTTCTCGCCTCCTCTTCTAGGATGGCCCATAAAACCCTCTAAAAGACTATTCCTGAACAGGATACTCTTAAACCCAATAAGGGAAGATATAAAAAATATGCCCAGGGCCCATCTCCCCTCCGTAAGGGACCGAATGGCTATGTACTCCTTGGAATAGGTCTCGGGCTTCTGAAGGAGGTAAAAGCCTTGAACAGCCTTGGAGCGTTCAGGGTTTAAGGCTGAAGGTCCGCTTGAGGCTTTAGGGTATACGGTTTAGGGAGTCAGAAACCCTAAACCCTAAACCCTAAATCCTAAACCCTAAACCCTCAGGGGTTCAGGGTCTTATTCGGGTCTAGAGTTGTTGCAGCTCCGGGTCCTTTGTTTGTGTAGGTTGCAATGTCTGTCAGCGCGAGGCTGATGTACGGGGATGGGGTGTAGGAGTTGGGGTTGTGGGTTTGGGCCCCACAACCTTGAATCCCCAACTTTTTTCTCTGGTCTTGGGTAACCTACAAAAACGCAGGCTTGGGGTTCTTAAGGTAAACTCTTAAAGTAAACCCTACAGCCCTCACCCCCGCCCCGTCAGAGCCTTGACGTTGCGCGGCGCAAGTGTCAGCGACCTGCCTGGGCTGCGAGCAAATGGGGCTTTTGGGGGTTGGGGTTTAGAGTTTAGGATTTAGGGTTTAAGGTGTAGGGCTTTAGGGTTTAGGGTTTAGGGTGTAGGGTTTAGGGTGCCTCTCTCGTACTGAAATTTGGTGAGATGACCACCCTGTGAACGGTTTAGGGTTCCTCTCTCGTACTGAAATTTGGTGAGATGACCACCCTGTGAACGCCGTCATCGGCCACCTCCATTTCAGAGCCACCCAGAAGGGGATGCCAAAACCCCAAAGCCAAAACACCCCACCCCAAACCCCCAACCCCCAACCCCAAACCCCAAACCCTAAACCCTAAACCCCAAACCCCAAACCTCAAAATGCCCCAAGTGAGGGTGCCGAGTTGCTTCATCTGAGGCTTGGCTGTAAAGTACGATGACACGGCTTCATTCGGGAGGCGGGGGTCGGGTGGGGGAAAGGAAAGATAGTTCCCTCGTGATTTATCTTATAGAAGGCTTAGAAAAGGGGTGTAGGGTGTCGGGTTTAGGGTCAGGGAACTCGAGGGCATTTGTGAGTTGCATAAGGGGATATGTGGCGGAAGCTACCCACCTGGAATTGGCCCAGATCTTTTGCCCCATAACTGTCAAAGGCTCATAGAATAGCGGCATGCCTTATTTCCCCGCCGCCATCCAGCGCAGCACCCCTTTCAACCGAGTGCTATCTGGCTTGGAGTCTAGGGTTTAGGGTTTAGGGTTTAGAATTTAGGGTTTGGGGTTTAGGGTTCCAGGTTTGGTTCACCCAGCCCCCCCCCCCCCCCCCCCCCCCCCCCCAACATCAAAATGGCAACGGCGCCTAAACACTATTGTTACACCTTAAGCCCCAAACCCCACCCGCTCCCCCCCGCCTTGATGTGCTTGGGAGTGGTTTGTCTCACCAGCCCTAACCCGAAAAAAACAAACAATAAAAACAAAAACAGAAAATCCTAAACCCTAAACCCTAAACCCCAAACCCTAAAACCAACCCACCAACCTAAACCCGCGTCCCGGCCACGTAGGCTCTGAATCGCCTCTTCCAGCTGTCCATCCTCCTCCAGCGCCAACGCCAAGTTCTCATGAACCTGAGCCCGAAACCCTAAACCCTAAACCCTAAACCCTAAGAGCTTTGGGGGTCAGGTGCCCAGAGCAACGTGGAAACCACAAGCGGGCACCCTCTTGGCTTCAAAAGGGGCTTCCTAAACGGTTTACCGGAAACCAAACTGCCCCCCTCTGATAACTCTAAACCCTAAACCCTAAACCCTAAACCCTAAATCCTAAACCCTAAACCCTAAACCCTACTGAAAAACAAAAGGGAAGAAGGGCCAAGTCTGGGTCCTACCTTCACGGAGCTCGGAACTCCTTTGAAATTACTAAAGTCAACTTTTGCAGGCCCTTGGCCTTAAACACTAAACAATATTCTCAAGAGCACTAAAGAAGACCTTGCGAGGAATAGCCTCTGGGGTTCACGGTTTAGTTGAAGGATCATCGGCGAATCATCGGTACCCACACTGGTACCCACAAATAGAGTTCTGAGTACCCTGAATAAACCTCTAAGCTTCTTATGGCCCTACTCGCAGGTACCCCTGAACCTCCAAGTAGAATTCAGGGTCCCTAAACCCTAAACCCTAAGCCCTAAGCCCTAAACCCTAAACCCTAAACCCTAAACTTCAGGGCGGCGATCCACGGCAATGGGCTTGGTGGGACTTTTTTGGGGTCCCAAACACAACACAGCTGACGAGAAAGATCAAGATTTAGGGTTTAGGGTTTAGGGTTTAGGTTTAGGGTTCAGGGCTTAGGGTTTAGGATTTAGGGTTTAGGGTTTAGGGGTTAGGGTTTAGGGTTTAGATGATGTAGAACACCTCTAAGACTCTAAGCCTGCGGAAAGTGTTGCTTTAAATGCCTGGCTGTTACAAACCCTTGGAAGTGCGCATCCCAACAAGGAGACAACAAAGAGTCTGGACACAAGAGTAACCTAGGAATAACAAAGTCTCCTTGCGCAACCTGCAAAACTGGGCTTCTTGCATCATGAACAACCCGCAAAACTCCAGAACCCTAGGCCAAAACCCTAAACCCCAAACCCGAAAACCCAAAGTAAACCCTAAACTAAGAGCCCTAAACCCTAACCCTAAACCCTAAACCCTAAACCCTAAACCCTAAACCCTAAACCCTAAACCCCTGAAACCAAAACCCACCAAACTCCCAAAACCCCCGCACATCCGACCTGTGGTCGCTCCGGAGACAGCACCACCGCGGCGCGAAAGTGCGCTATCGCCTGTGTGGCACGGTTTCCAGATCACCCCCTCCTAGTTTAGCCCCAAACCCTTAACCCTAAACCCTATACCCTAAGCACAAAGCACCATACCCTAACCCCTAATTAAACCCTAAACCCTAAACCCTAAACCCTAAACCCTAAACCCTAAACCCTACACCCTAAACTGTAGGGTGCCGGGCTTAACCCGAAAACCAGAACCCCCCAGCGCTAACAACTACAGCCCGAACAGCTAAGTCAGCCCGAACTGAAACCCTGAAATCCCGCAAACCTGAACTACGAAGTGAACCCCGAATCCACCTCCGAACCCTCTAAACGCAAAAGGTTGAGGGTTTAGGGTTTAAAGTCTCTGAACCTGTAAGCTATACAAGCAAACCCTACAAGTCCTATAAACCAGAAAACATGCCCCTATACCCTATAAGCCCAAAAATCCAAGTCCCGAGCCTACGAACCCACAACCTCTTACGCTTGAACCCACAAGCGTGTGTAGGAGTTTAACCCTAAACCCTCCGAAAACCCAGAAAGCCTAAACCCAAAGCACTAAACCATACAAACAAAAAAGTTCCCAAAACCCTAATAAGCCTCAGATGAACCCCGGCAATATGGGCTGCTCCCGGGGATGCCATCTGTGTTTAGGGGTGCGAAGGGCTTCGGGCACAGCTCTGTTATAAACGTTTAGGGGTTACAGGGCGGTTCATTTCGGGTTGCGGGCTTAGGGCGAGGATTTATGGAACCCCACAACCCGAAGCCCTGAACCCCCCAAAGCCCCCTGAGTCCTAAAGCATAAAATCCACCCAGCCCCGCTTACGCCGTACCCACCCTTTTCTACCACGCCTGGACCCAGGACTACATCCCGCAGCTATTCACACCATCGCTTGGAGCTACTACGCAAGCCGAAAGAGCTGTGTAATTAAGCGCAATTAAGCTGCACCTCTACTGCTGGCGCTTGGGGTACCCCTTCCCCCCTTCTGTGATTCACATAAATGACTCGACAGAGAAACCCCAACCCAACGACCTGACGCAAAAATGGCTTCCGGGTAACCTCACTAACCTTCTACTAAACCCTCTGCTGAATGTACTACATCCTCATTAAACTCCACTAAACCCTGCTTAACCATGCTAAACTCTTCCACAACCCTTTCCTAAACCCTCTACCAAACCCTGGCTAAATCCTCTACTACCAAACCCTTTGCGAAGCCGTCTTAAACTCTACTAAGCCCTGCTAAGCCCTACTAAGCCTACTGAGGCCCCTACTGAAGCCGGAAAAGCCCTCTATTCAACCCTCGACTCTACCCTCTACTGCACCTGCACCAGCCCTCTACGAAACCCTCTACCTTACGAGGCTCTACTAAGTCTAGGCTGTCCAGTAACCTAGGCTTAAAAAGGGTGCCCCTTTTTTGGCTTAAAGGGGTTTATAAGGGAACCGAAACCCCCCGAAAAGGGAATAATGGAACTACTGGGCATCCTAGAAGCCCTTTTGCTAAGCGAAAAACCTTCCCTTCGAGAGGATGGGGATGGGAAGGTTAGGGTTTCTGTTCGCGGAAACCCAAGGTCGAAGACCTGCCAACGCGAGATATGCACAAGACCCTAAACCCTAAATCCCAAACCCTAAACCCTAAACCCTAAACCCTAAACCCTAAACCCTAAACCCTAAACCCTAAACCCTAAACCCTAAACCCTAAACCCTCCCCCTAAACCCTAAGCCTACAACTCCTTGCCCCCAAGCCCTGAAGAGTCCAGCCTCCGCAAAACGCTCCTGCTCAAAGAGCGCCGTGCCCAAGCCGGAAAGTGACTCCTCTTGGGCTTGCTGGGTGATGAGGGTGATGATGGTTACTAGGGTTGTTGGGGGTTTACGCTCAGGGTTTAGGGTTCAGGTTTCAGGGCTTTGGGATTCGGGTTGAAGTTTCGTCAATACCCCGGACACAAACCCTATACAATTTCTATAAACCGAAGTTGGTCCTGGATGCTGGGCGCCCGCAGGTCCAGCGCCTTGCGGAAGCTGTGCTCCGCCTCCTTCCACTGCCGGTCGCGCCTTGGGGGTCGTTGGTGGAATTATCGCCGGGAGTAGGGTTTAAGGTTTAGGGTTTAGGGTTTAGGGTTTCGGGTTTCGGGTTTAGGGTTTAGGGGCTTCGGGCCTGCTAGCCTTGATTCCTTGTGCGAGGGTCAACCGACTGAGACACCTCCTTCACCTCAGGCCCAGGATGTCAATGCATTCATCCCTGCGAAGTGGGCCCGAAACCCGAAACCCGAAACCCTAAACCCCTAAACCCTACCCTAAGCCCTAAGCCCTAAACCCTAAACCCTAAACCCCAAACCCTAAACCCGAAACCCTAAGCCCCAGGCCCTATCAGCCCCAAGCCTTCAAGAAGGGAAGGGAACCCTGAGTCTGGTGTAACCCTAAACCCTAAACCCTAAACCCTAAACCCTAAACCCTAGACCCTACTGATTTGCAAGAAACGTCCCAGGAGCCCGGTCATGTGCCTCGCAATGATGTTTTGCCCTAAGCCCGACCTTACTTGGAGGTTCATGCGTACTTGTAAGTAGGGTCATATGAGTGTACCCTAAGTAAGGTTCTAACCAGAATTGCCCTACGTATGGGGGGGGGGGGGGGGGGTTCGTATCGTTTTTTCGAACAAACAACCCGTCCTTCTAGCTTGCTGGCTCAGTCATAGAGCAGGTTTCAAGCTTTAGGCCCAACAGGTTTCAGGCTTCCCCCGCCCCCTACTTCTGTAGAGATATTAAAAGGTGCGACTGCCGGATCGAGTTTTCGGGCCAGAGGTTTTGCTCATATATCTATATATATATATATATATATATATATATACATATATATATATATATATATATTAGGGGTGCATTTATGTTAGGAGGAAGGGATTACCCGTGCACCTGCAAGTAAGAACCCAAAACCTGCCTTTTTGTAGGTTGCCCAAGAAACCGATAAGGGGTTTTAATGAAAAATGCCTACAAAAAGTAGATTTTGGGTTCTTAAGCTACACCCCCGTAACCCGATCAACCTTAACCCTTACAAACCCTTCATGATACTGGTGTTTCGGGCTTGGGGAGTGTATAGACGCTAAAGCCTGAGGGCCTGAAGCCCTAAAACCCTAGTACACCCTAAACCAGTACCCTAAACCCCAAAATCCCCTAGCGCTGAGCAGCCTAAGGCCCCAAACCCTAAACCCCAAACTCTATAAACCCTAAACCCCGAAAATGATTAGCCCGGAAACCCACTAAACCCTTTACTACGCCCTAAACCCTAAACCCAAAATCCTACAAATCCCAACTACCTGAGTACCTAAACACCCTACACGACGCCCTAAACCCAAAACCCAAAATCCTGCAAATCCCACATGTCCAAAATACATAAACACCAAACGCACCCTAAACCCTAAACCCTAAACCATAAACCCTAAACCCTAAACCCTAAACCCTAAACCCGAAACCCTAAACCCTAACCCCTAAACCCTAAACCCTAAACCCTAAACCCTAGTCCGGAAGTCTGGGGCACGAGCCGAAGCAGGCTGCCCAGCTTCTCCCAGCCCACGGGGTCGGAAGGCTTCTCTTGGACGTCCTTGGTAGTCTTCGGCAGGGTGTTTGGGGCTTTTGGGGGGTTTTTTACCCTAAACCCTAAACCCCAAACCCTAAAACCTAAACCCTAAACCCTAAACCCTAAGCCCTAGAAGGGTTTGGAGGGTTCAGGGTTTGCGCGGCACTGCACTTTGAGGGCTCAGGGCTGTATACGCGGAGGTTCATAGGTACTTCGAATTAGGCAATTAAGACTTAGAAGTAAAGTTACAGTATAAGTAGGGTACCTATAGTTATACCCTTACTTAATCAAGCTGCCCATTTATATTACAACAAGATCCAGCTTGTAGTAGGTCTTCAGGGCACACACATGAACCTTAAACCCTAAACCCTAAACGCTAAACCCTTGTGGGGTGCGGAGCCCAGGGGCCTGGCGAGCCTGCTGCAAAGGGCTTGCCGCCGCCACAGGCGTGGGCAACAGAACGACAAGGGCCGCATAGAAGGCACGAGCCATTTCTTCGAGGGTTTAGGGTTTCGGGCTTCGGGTGTAGGGTTTTTGGGGATGGGGATCTGATACTCTTTCTGGGGCCATACCCTACAATTCCCTACGGACCCTTATATGGCAATAAGTTTAGTTTTTTGTTGTGTTTTGTACATGATAGGCGTTGTTGGGGGGTTCGAAGACCATGATCTACAAGGTTCTATGTTGGGAGCCTAAGGGGTTTGCCAAGACAGCCTGATGCTGCTTTGTTGGGCTGCTATATAACCTTGTTTACAGTACATAATAAGAGCTTGTGGCATTCGCGTGGTGAGTGCAAATCGGTGGAGTGAGGCGTAGGGTTTAGGGTTTAGGGTTAGGGTTTAGGGTGTAGGGCTCCATTCGGGGAGTGAGGATTCATGAGAGGATGGCATGTCTTCTCTGGACTGCATCGCAAAAGGGAGCCGGCGTCACGCGTAGAGCATGCAAACCCCAAACTGTTGCAAGCAGCTGGAGGGTGCGGTGTTGTGAAGACCCCGGGCGAAAAGGCTGGCAGATATCAACAGAGGCTCCCTGAAACGAACCTATCCTGGTGTTGTTGCCACCGGTGCATCAGATGAAGTAACCTTCTTAAGATGTAAACGCAGTCATACAGAACCAGGCAAAGCAGCACGTGAGCAACTTGTATGGCTAGGCATATACAAATGCATTTGTTATGCGCGCATGCCTGCGCGCATAGACATGCACGCGCACATTCGCCCCAGGAGTAACCTAGGAACAAAAAGGGTACCCTTTTTGCCTTACAGGCGTTTCATACGGGAACCTAAACCCCAAAACGGGAAATAACCCTAAAATCTCAACCCTGAACCCTAAACCCTAGATGGACAAGTGGCTTCTGGCAGTTGCTCTGCGGATTTGATTAGCAATTGCAGTGCTATGCGGGGGGCTGGCAAAATTATGATCCCTTTTGGGGTACCCTAAATACTAGGTGCCGTACTATAATAGGGATCCAAAAAGGGATCATAATTTTGACAACCACCTATGTGGGTGCACATGAACAAAACCTACATGTTGGGATGTTCCCCCTTTTACTAACAGTCCTTAGTGGGGATCATAGCAGGTGGTACTAAACCTACATGTTGGGATGTTCCCCCGTTTACGAACAGTCCTTCATGGGGATCATAATAGGTGGTACTACATTTCCCTATTAAGGACTGTTAGTACAAGGCGGAACATCCCAAGCTACATGTCTAAATCTACATGTAGCTGCAAAAAACTAAGAAGCAGGCGAAATTGGAGGTTTTCACAATGGCCTCTGTTGGGGGGTTCCCTGAATGCAAAGGCACGCATTCAAAAGCAACTCCAGAAGGGAGCACACTTTTTTAGCAACCCCCATACGAGCTAAACCCTAAACCTATACTCCCCTTAGAACCTGAATAACACAATATACTAAATATTCCCTTGGGTGATATATAAATAAACGGGAATTTGATGAAAAATAGAAACATATATCATACATCAGTACTGTTCGATTCTCAACTCCTCGAGACCGAGCAAACCTAGAAACTGTCAAATCCCTAAACACAATGAACCGCCCACACCCTCTACACCCTATACACCCTTTAAACCCAATAAATCGTAAGAAATCCGGGATGTTCCCCCTTATACTAACAGTCCTTCATAGGGATTATAACAGGGGGTACGAAAATCCTTCTGAAGGACTGTTAGTACTGGGGACATCCCAAATAAGCCCTTTCAACCCTATGAACTCGCAAACCCCATGAATTCTAGGGTTTAGGGATTAGAGTTTAGAGTTTAGGGTTTGGGTTCGATGAACCCTAAAGATTCCATGAACCCTATGAATTCCCCTATAAGACCCTGCAAAACCCCCACGTAAATCCTGAAAGCCTTCCAAACACAGACACCCAGAATCCCTCTAAACCTTCTTCGATCCCAGGAGTAACCTAGGAAAAAAAAAGGGTGCCCCGTTGGGTGAAAAAGTTGAAGTGTTCCCCCTTATACCAACAGTCCTTATTGGGGATTATAGTGCCCCCTATAATCATCCCAATTAAGGACTGTTCGTAGAAGGGGGAACATCCCAAGTCAAAGGGGGATTGTAAGGGACCCTAAACCCCCCCCCCAAAAAAAAAAATATTCGCATTTTCTTGGGGGGTTGGTTCTTAAGCAATTGGTAGTTGTACAGGGTAATAGTACTACATTTAGCAGGCCCTAAGACCTAATCCATGCTTCCTAGCCTCTGCACCCGATAAACCCACAAGCCCTTTAAACCCGGCAGAAAAAAGAAAAGCAACACGAGGCACAACTGTCATTTTTGTTTGGGAGGGGGCCCTAAACCCAAACCCTAAACCCCAAACCCTACACCCTAGACCCTAATCCCCATTAAGGACTGTTAGTATAAGGGGGAACATCCCAGCCCAACTGCGTCATGCCGGCAGATTTTGTCGATGTCTGCGGGGCCGCGGAAGCAGTGAGGAGCCGGCGTGTGGCTCTTCTCGTTATGGGTTTGGGGTTTAGGGTTTAGGGTTTGGGGTTTAGGGTTTGGGGTTTAGGGTTTGGGGTTTAGGGTTTAGGGCTTAATTAGGGTTTAGGGGTTGTATGGGGACAGCTTCGGGGCTTTTGGGTCTAGTAGGTTTGGGCTGAAAGGAATGCTTCCTTGGGCTACCTTCATGGTCGGGGGGCTTACTTCGGGTGTATGCTGAAAGACACTTCGTTGAGGGTTTCGTTTGGGTAGGGAGGGTTTCAAGCGGGTTAAGGAATACACTCTCCACGATAATGATAGGGCGACAATGATTTAGATCCATGTGGTCGCACGTTGCTTCGGCTTCAGGATAAAACTCGCACACATGAAGAATCGGGTTTAGGGTTTAGGGTTTAGGGTTTAGGGCTTTCTTACGCATGCTGGCTTCATAGACAGCCCTACTTGGAATGTTTCGCTCAAAGCCGCGCGCTGGGACCAAGTGACGTCGGCGAAGTGGGCCTCACACCCCCTACTGAAACCTGAGGGTTTAGGGTTTAGGGTTTAGGGTTTAGGGTTCAGGGTTCAGGGTTCAGGGTTTAGTGTTCTAAATTGGAATGTTCACTAACAGTCCTTAATTGGGATTATAGTGGCCCCATACTATAATCCCGATTAAGGACTGTCAGTATATGGGGGAACATCCCAACCTCTAAACACCTAATCCCTTAAAGCAGAAACCCACGGACTTGAGCGATACCAAGAGAGATGAAGCCTTTGGGCATGGCAGGGGCTTGTAGAGCCCAGCATGCTAGGAACCCTTCTGCAATTCCTTTTGCAAGGTTTAGGGTTTAGGGTTTGTTTAGGGTTTGTTTAGGGGTGTGTTTTTAGGGCTTTTTGGGGTTTAGAGTTTATGGTTTCGAGATTTAGGCTCCGCAGAATCAGCGCCCCTAAAAGAGTCCGGATCGCGTTGCATGACTAGGGCTTTCGTGTTTTTGGTGGGCACTGTAAACCCTCAACCCTAAACCCTGAACGATGAGCCCCGCTGTATTTGAATCCTTGACTAGGATGTCCCTGAAAAAAACTCTGAAATATTCCTGGGATATGCTCCTCTAAAAACCCAACTAAAGGGAACATGCGAAATGTCCCCGGGGCTTACCTAGTCAAGCCTCCCCTAAACCCTAAAACCCTAAACCCTAAACCCTAAACCCTAAACCCTATACCTAGTCAAGCCTCGGCCTTTCTTCCTCAGCAAGGAAACAATCTCGACGTGGCCCTTGGAAGATGCCTGCATGAGAGCGGTCTTGCCCGAGCTGCCCTGCAAATTCTTGTCGGCACCGGCGTCCAACAGCAAACGTACAATCTCGACGTGGCCCTGGGCAGATGCGCGCATTAGAGCAGTTTTGCCGAAGCTTCCCTGCAAGTTTTTGTCGGCACCGGCGTCTAACAGCAAACGTACAATCTCGACGTGGCCCTTGGAAGATGCATGCATGAGAGCGGTCTCGCCAGAGCTGTTCTGGAAATTCTCGTCAGCACTAGCCTGTTGCAGTGAACGTACAACCTCGGCTCTGTGTTTAGAAGATGCGGCCATGAGAGCCGTCTCCCCTGACCGGTCCCGCAAGTTTTTGTCGACACCGGCGTCTAGCAGCAGGCGTACAATCTCGACGTGGCCCTTGGAAGACGCATGCATGAGTGCAGACCTATGCTTGGCACCAGCATCCAGCAGCAAGCGCACAATCTCGACATGGCCCTGGGAAGATGCCTTCATGAGAGCAGTCAGGCCAGAGATGTCCTGCAAGTTCTTGCCGGCACCAGCGTCCAGCAGCAGACGTACAATCTCGACGTGGCCCTGGGAAGATGCCTTCATGAGAGGGGTCTGGCCAGTGACGTCCTGCAAGTTCTTGCCGGCACCAGCGTCCAGCAGCAGACGTACAATCTCGACGTGGCCCTTTAAAGATGCATGTATGAGAGCGGTCCCACCGGAGATGTCACGCAAGTTTTTGTCGGCACCGGCGTCCAGCAGCAAGCGTACACTCTCCACGCGGCCCTTGGAAGAACAATGCATGAGAGCGGTCTGGCCGGAGATGTCCTTCAAGTTCTTGTTGACACCAGCTTGTAGCAGAGCACGCCCCGCCTCCAGATGGCCTGCTTCGGCCACATACTCCAGAAACTCGCGCTCAGCCGGAGGCATCTGCTCCGGGCTGAGGGCGGAGACCAGGACTAGCTGCAGGTCAATGGGCCCAACTAGAGGAACACCGTCCTCCAAGCAGCAGCCGGCGTGTATGAGCTGTTGCAGACCTTGGTAGCCCAGCAACCACACCATAACAATTAACAAGGGCACCCTTTTTTGGGTTGGCTATATAATTTTAATAAGGGAACCCAAAACCCCCAAAAAAAGGGTAAAGGGCACCACTGGGCTACCCCAAGAGACAGACTGGGTGGCCATGATGGCTTCGCAAGTGGCGCTTCAAGTCGATGACGTTTTCAAACGCGTCACCAGTGGGAGCGGCAGCCAGCAATTGCCCAGAAACACTCCAGACACGCAGCATGGTGTGGACTCTAG